TTCTTCTATGAGGTTTATGTAATGTGTAAAGGTAAGTTTTTGTTACATTTTATTTGTAGGACTATTGTTTCTAGGCATCACGTTCCGGCATAAGTCATGTTGATATTGACATACTTTTAAGATGATTTTATGGAAAAAGGGGCCCATAAAGGCAAAATTGTCTAAGGCTTCTGTAAGTCATAATACAGCCATGGTTATTAGTTTCTTTTTATAGAATATTTGTGTAATTAACATATTATTCTAATTTATTATAAATTTCCAGCTACTTAATATCTGCATTAAGATTTTACTCAGGCTTGGACAAAATTTAGGGGGAATTGTACCCACTAGGCAAACTTAACTTTGAATTTTGTAAAGTCACTTAAATAATATAATTTAATATTCACTGATCTGCTTATTAGTTCAGTGGCTTTGGGTATTGAGCTAATGCCTTTCATCCAATAGGATATATTATGTTTTTCAATACAGAAACATTTATTTAGAGATGAAGATAACAAGAATCATAAGCAAAACCAAAGCGAAATAAACTGGTAGTGGCATCAAATCTGCTCCTCCAAATCCTTGCAATATAGAAAACAAATATCTCCAAATAACTTTTTCCCTTTTTCATGGAAATCTGTCCTCAGAGAATACACATTAAGTGTACTCAACATTAAAATAAAATCAACTGAAATGTCTAAATCAGAGGTTCTCAAATTTTCTGCCCGTTAGACAATTTGTAGATACTTGTAAAATTACCCAAGCTCTTTATTTCAGTGATTCTGCCGTGGGTCCTAGGAATCTTTAATTTTAAGAAGCATCTCAGTTGCTTCTGAAAAAACAATCCATGGAAAACATGTTGAGAGACAACTTTCTAGTCAGACAAATTTGTCAAGTAGCATGTAAAATCAAATTACTTTTGTGTATAATACCTCCATCAATGCATAATTTAAGAGTTAAGTGTGTTTAAGTACTTTTATACCTGAATATGATATTATAATGGTAACTTTTTATGTTTTTCAAAATAATTGACTACTTTCTAAATAGTCAGTGCAGTTAAAAAATTAAACTGCTGCCTATGAACAAGCAATCTCTATAGGTTTTAAATGACATATATTTTCCTAATATATGTTTCTTTGCCATAGAAACTAACCACAAATATTGGGAAAAAAGCATACCTGTGGATCATGAACTTTGTAAGAAGCATGCATGCAACATTACTTGTTAAATAAAGTATCCCAAAAGAAATTCCTAAAGATTCTGTCATATTTAGACTTCTGGAATTTATTTACTTTCAATTTATTTTCACATTACAAAGGAGATTTTTAAAAATCTGAAATAAATCCTCAAGTCTATTCAAAATGTATTGAGCATATGAAAACTAAAACAAAAAACTTAGAAATGTATGGGGTTGTATGTATATATTCATTGTAATTTCTAAAATTTTGTATGAGGAAATTTTTTTCACAATTTATAATTTATTTATGGTTGATTCAGACCCGGTTAACAGCTCTTTTCAATGATCTTTTGTGGGGTATAACAGCAAGATACGGAAGTGGTGGTCAGTGGATGGGTGGGGCAGATAAGCAGTAAATCATTTCAGAAAATTTCACACTCAAGGCTTGTTGACATGAGTCAGGGACAAGGAAATAACCCAGTCAGCACCTGCATCTTTAATGAAGGACAACACTGCTGCATGTTTAGAGAATGGAAAGGAAAAAATAAATCATGCTTAACTTTAAGGTAGCCTATCTTATTTATTCAAATAGAAATACAACCTTGTGAGTATTTCTTCAGGTATTTTCATTTAAAATATTGCAATATAAGCCTAGAATTCAATTTTATTTTTTTTTACCATAGAGGTTTTTAAATGTTTTAATTAATTCCACTATATGTGAAATATATGCTTTAATAACATACCATTTAACATTTGCTTTTCATTGTCTTCCTGACATCCGTGGCAATAAAAGGTAGATGCTTAAAACGTAAAGATTGGCATCTGTCAGATTTCTTTCCTAGCAGAAATTAAGTCAAGACATGGCCTAGTCCGGATTCAGCACACCTCAAGAGATAACCTCAAATCGTTTAATAATTGTTTCATTTGTGAATTAGAGATGAAGTAAATTAATATGAAAAACATCTACCAGTGGTTTTAATAAAAAGGAGGTGGGTTTTAATGGGCTCTACATGCAATGAAAGCAGCAATTCAAATGGCTGACAAAGCCTGGTTATTCTTAGAATCTATTTATTAATTATTCCTTTTCTCTAAACCAATTTATTTTCAACAATAAGAGTACTTCTTGATTTACTATATACAAGTAATTTGTTTGCCTTCTCATATACCAACCATTTCATATGTAATGTTATGAAACATAACAGCAGTTTTAAAAATGTATGATACAGGGAGACAAAATCAAATATGAAAAAAAAATTGAGCTGGGCAATCCATCAATTCCAGATATTACATTCAAATATTTTAATATTTACTTACATCAAGTTATCTAGCCGCAGCTTGAAGTGAAAAACACTTTATTGTTGTGGTAATAAAATAACCTGCATTGTGCCAATGTTTTAATTGCTCTTTTCTTTTGTACCCTGAGAAATCTTGTTCCTGTAGACACCTTGGCTGATGATAACGCACTGAGTCAAGTACTACAGAATATAAAATTCTCCTTATTTTTTTTAGAAGCATGTTACATTTTTTTCATTTGTCTGATATCTTTATCTGATTGTTTATTATTAGAAATACATTTCTGATGAAGGAGAATTTATTTTCTTAAGAGAAAGAGTGGAAATAAATCAACTGAATAAGAAATTACGTTTTTGTTTGTTTTTGTTTTTTCTTTTTTTTAAAAGACACTAATATTTTGCCTTCAAAGCTAATCCAGTTTTTGCTTCCTCGGAGACATGCTCAATTCAGTCCAGATCCAAGTTCGCTAATGAACATATGAAAGCTAGAAAAGCAATTAGAAGAATCAAGACTTCTCTTCATTCGGAGATTAATGAAAGGAAGGGACACTCTAAGGCCAGTGAGTTTTTTCAGTGGATTTTCTCCCTAGCCTGAAGCCAGTGCTCCTAGATGGAGGCAGTTATGAAAATGACTTCCACTCCGCGGGTGTCCTTTCTGAAAAGCTAACGGCATATTTCTTTTGACGGGTAAATTACTTTGAAATGTTTCTTGAACTCTGTAGTCCTGAAATAAAAAGGCATCTAACTGTATGCATCCCATTTGAGGTTACCCTTATTTCTTTTTAAGAAAGTGTTGGCTCAAAATGGGCCCTGAGTAATCAATTATGTGGCATATATTTTTAACTAACTGATAACCAAACTATCGCCTTTGTAACCAATCTACATATTAAATGAGGCAATGAAGTCATATACTGTAGATTTGGAAGTATTTGCATGTAAAATAGTAATCACAGAGGTTTGACAGCTTTTGCACCTAAGTGTTCTAAATTATGCAATATCCTTTTGAATAAAAAGATGATATTTTTTATTCCCTAGATAAACCTTGTACCTTCTCACCATATATATTCATACATGTATTCCTTCTTCCACTAGATAGACACAGGTGGTTCAAACCTCACTTAACAATTTTGAATTTTGATATCCTGCTCAATAACTACATCACGGACCAACTTTATTGACCTGTAGGAGTTATTAGCTGGCCATACAGTTTAAGGGGAATTATACCTAAGCTGTATCTGTATCTGTGTCTACCTATAGCTGTAGTTTTAAAAACACTTTCATATAAGTATCCTCTTTATTCTGACAATTTACAAAACAGTGAATTAATGTGTACCTATATTTGCATTTTCCACATACTTAAGAAATATATGATGTTTTCTTTGATTCATACACTAATCTTAATACTCAACAGAGTCACAGCAAGAGAAGGGAATGTGGGAACAGACTAAAAATAAAAATACATAGTAATTTTAGTGGGCTAACCTAATTTGATACAAATCATTAAATGTATTTTCTTACAACAGACTTAAAACTTCTGTATCCTGCAGTCATATGAAAATGTTTTTAACAGATATACAAATCATGTTTTTTTGTTTACAACTCCCTTATCTTTGAGGTGAAAATGTCAATCTTAACCCAGCACAGGGAAAAATTGAAGCCCCAGGATTTTCCGAAATCTTTGATTTTGTGTGGATGAACATGATAAGCTACATATAGTTGCTGAATATCAAAATAAATATAACCATAAAATAAATAAAAACAAAGTTTCATAGTATGGTCTAACAAAACATGGTACGTTATTCTTTATGAATAACTTGGCTAAATTAAGACATATTAGATGTATTCAAATTAACTTCACTTTTTTCTGTCTTATCTAAGAGGAAACATAAAATTATATTTGGATTAGTACATCAACATATTTTTGTATTTTCCACTAGCATACATTGGACCTAATTCTTATTAAAACAGTAACAGTAAAGCATTTTAAAGAAATGCTATTCTATACCATTAATAAAATTATGACTTCAAGGAAATAGGTTTCTAACTTCACCCAAAACAGTGGTAACTATGGTAGCAACACAGCAGCATGTCGCATTTTTATTCTTACCTTGTTCAGCCTGTTAATTAATATGTTACTACTCTAAGAAATGTCAGTTTTCAATGTTTCAAGTTTTTGATGTTCCTTTTCTATGGTACAGGCATGCACTGCTGCTTAGGTGTCCTTTGTGTGTTACACATCCTTTCCCTACTGTAGTTTTTCTTCTGCCACTCTAATTCACTTAGTTAATATAACACTCCTTACACGTTTCAGAACAGTGACTTTTTCTCAATGTTCTGTTTCTCTTGGGAATTAATAAAGTGCTCTCTATTCAAGAATAATAATTTGACCCCTGAAATTGATCAGCACTCATACTTAAGAAGACATTCACACAGACTTGCAAGTTCCAAAGAAAATGAACAAATTTGATTTGCAATACACACAATAAAAAGTGAATTTAAAGCAAAGAAGGACTACTGGTTAAGTATTGATAAAACAAATGCACAGCACTTACCTGGAATAAGCTGGGACAGAAATAGGTGATTTGGGGATAAGCTGAGGAGTGATATTATGACCAAAAAAGGAACATGTTTCCATTTCATCTTTGTCCCTTCCTTGCATTACACCCAGCCAGTGATAGATATGTGTTATCTGGGGAGATTAAAAAAAACAAAATTATTATTTTGTAATGGTTAGCTATGTTGAGAGATAATTATTTTGTGAAATATTGCAGTTTAAATAGATTTGAAATGTCATTTTTTGAAATGAAACATAATTAAAATTATTACATTACTAAAATGAATTGTACAGAATATATTTCATGATTCACATTTCAAACAAATGTGGTAGTTATTAATTTTGAAAACTCATTTTTAAGTTACATGTTAATCATAAATGATTCCTTGGTTTTCTCTGTTTTTTAGAGAATGCCAGATATGTGATTTTTACTTTGATTCCCCACCAATTTAGTTGGAACACTCTCATCACATTTAGAAAACACTGAAGTTAATCATTCATTAAACAAATATTTACAACCAATTTATAATGAGTGAAGCACTATGCTGCTTTGGGGATATAGCAGAAAAAAAACTTGCTCTTCACCCAGGTGCATAAACAACTTGAGGCCACTTTAATTTTGTGAATTCACAAACAGATTTTAAAAATTACTAAGTGGTCTATTCTGAATATGACAGAGAAACATAAGATAGTATCCTCATAAAAAACAAAGCTTATAATATTTGGGGACTTTTTAGGAGATAATAACAAATGACAGCATAAAGCTACAAAAATATATGCAAATAACTGGTTAATTAATTTTGCCAGGGAGACTGGACCAAGCTTACAGGGAAGAAGTGGCATTTTGAGATATGAGATAATATCCAGTAAGTGGAAAATAAAACAATACTATTTAGAAACAACAACAGAACCAAGTTTTCAAAGTAAGATGGTATGTAGATACATAAATTTCATGGTACATTTATTTATATATAAATTTTATCATAGGTAGATAGATGACAGGTTGATAGGTAGATACAGATATATTCCCATGATATAAAGATGTATTTGGGCTACTATAAGGACTGTAGTTTTTTGGCTGGATGATGGGGTTTGCCAGAATGTAATGTGATAGGGAACTTAAAAAATAAATAGGGCAAGTAATGTAGGTAATGAGGAGACACCACAGATTTTAATAATAGATTATAAAATGATCTAAATAATTTAGAAGATAACTCTGGTGGGAATATACAAGTATACTTGGCAGCACTCGGCAAATTTTAGATTTGAGAGTTGAGAAGTGGACTTAATCTTTTAATAATATTTTTACTATTTAGTCAAAAATAGATAAACAAATCTAGTACTATATAAAAAGCAATTTGTCCACCCCTACGAAGTTCTAACAGTTATTTTTGTGACACTCAGAATAACAAATTGAAAAAACGTTACCAATTTATTATTGTAGGTTAACTGGACATAGCTATTTTGTCTATTTGAGTTGAGCTGTCCTTATTTTATGACTTATCAATGCAGAATTAATTGCTAAGTTTTCCCCTAGCAAAGCTGTCTAATCCTCTTGCCCGACAGCTACAATCACCTGACTTGACTTTAGATATTTGGAGATTATTTCCTCTCTCTAACATTCTCTGTAAGCAACTTTGATGTGAGCTAGAAACTTGCCTCAAAAAATATACTTGGTTACTGTAGTTTCATATTTATTCCCTGACTTCTTTGTCTTGGGGTTAATGTTCTTGTAACTCTCCTTATCCTAGCATATCACTCATCACTGATATTATATAACTACATTATAAAGCTAGATTAATATTTTTACTCTTTAATCTAAACTATGCAGTTATTAGTTTGTCCAAAAGCTCTTTTACAGGGTTATCCACTGAATGTTATGGCTTATGATCACGTTTGTCAGCGAAGTATAAATGATTTGTTCCTCCAGAGAAAATGTATAAGTACACTGTGTACTGCTCATTTCTGCTTGGCTGGCTTTTGATATAATAGTTGTCCTATATCTTCTTGGTTTCTGCTTGCCTAAGGAATTTCTCAGATTCCTCTTCTCTCTAATTGATTACTGAGTGTCCTAGACATAGAGTCCTGTTTGGAATAAACCCTAGACCTCTGATTTTTTTTTTTTTTTTTTTTTTTGAGGTGGAGTCTCGCTTTGTGGCCCAGGCTGGAGTGAACGGCGCCATTTTGGCTCCTTGCAAGCTCCGCCCCCCGGGTTCCCGCCATTCTCCTGCCTCAGCCTCCCGAGGAGCTGGGACCACAGGCGCCGCCACCGCGGCCGGCTAATTTTTTGTATTTTTTTAGTAGAGACGGGGTTTCACCGTGTTTGCCGGGTGGTCTCCATCTCCTGACCTCGTGATCCGCCCGTCTTGGCCTCCCAAAGTGCTGGGATCACAGGCTTGAGCCACCGCGCCCGGCCTAGACCTCTGATTTCTTAAATGTGTATAAGCAGTTGTATCTTAGCTCTTGACGTAAATAAAAACATGTATGAATCTCAAGGCTCTTTAGAACTTTATTACTTAAAAATTTAGAAGGATTATATTTGTTAAATGATATTTTTGTATCTGTGGCTAATTACATTTTAGCTGTCATTTATTAATAGCTATATATAGCTTGTTTGTAGCAGGCAGCTATTGATAAAATAAAGAGTCTAATCAAACACGCACATAAGAAAATAAACCTGAAAGTACAAACACTTATTATAATTGATTGAATCCCCCCAAGTTATGTTATTCAACAGGCAGATATTATTTCAAATATGTGTAAGGTATTATGATTAATATTCCTCAAATAAATTTTCATGATCTAGGACTAGTTCTGTGAATTTATGTAGTATGTAGCTAAAAACATAATATGATTTTTAAGGTAGTACCCACAGATCAGAAATGGGAATTGCATTATTAGCTATTGTACACATATCACTTCAGTACTTTGAAGTTTTTCGTTTGCTTTTAATAGATTTTACTTTTTACAGTAGCTTTAGGTTTAGAGGAAAATTGAGTGGAAGGTACAGAGATTTCTCATTAACTTCCTTCCCTGACACTATTCCATTTCCTGCCCTTGCATAGCCTCTCCCGTTGGCAACCCCCACCAGAATGTTGAATTTGTTACAATTGATCAACCTACATTGACACCATTATCACCCAAAGTCCATAGTTTACATTAAGGTTTACTCTTGGTATTGTGCATTTTTTGGGTTTGAACAAATATATGTGACACATATCAAACATCATTGTATCATACAGAATAGTTTTGCTTCCCTAAAAATCCTTTGTGCTTCATCTATTCATCCCTCCTCCTTCCGAACCCCTAGAAACTGCTTATCTCTTTGTTATCTCCATAGTTCTACCTTTCTTGGAATGTCGTATAGGCATAGAGTATACAGCCTTTTAAAATTGGCTATATATGTCTTTCACTTAGTAATTAACATAAATTTAAGTTTCCTCCATGTTTTTTCTTTTCATGTCTTGATAGCTAATGTCTTTTCAGCACTGAATAACATTCCATTGTCTGGACGTACCATGGTTTCTTTATCCATTTACCTATTGAAGGACATCTTGATTTCTTCCAAACTCTGGCAATTCTGCATAAAGCTGGAGAAAATATCCATTTGCAGGTTTTTGTGTGCAGGTAAGTTTTAAACACATCTGGATAAATAATAAATAGTGTGATTGCTCAATTATATGGTAGGACGATGCTTATTATTGCAAGAAACTGCTAAATTGTCTTTCAAAGTGGTTATACCATTTGTCTGTCCACTAGTAATGAGTAAGATTTCTTGCTGCTCAACATCCTTGCTAGTAGCTGGTGTTATCGGTGTTCTAGGTTTTGGCCATTCTGGTAGGCATGCAATGGTACATAATGTTTTAAATTTACATACCCTTGTTGGCATGATGTGAAACATCTTTTTAGTGGCTTATTTATCATCTCATTATCATCTTTGGTGAGATATTTGTTAAGTCTTTTTTCTCACTGTTGAGTTTAAGAATTTTATTTTATTTATTTTATTTATTTATTTTTTTGAGATAGTGTCTTGCTCTGTCACCGAGATTGGAGTACAGTGGTGCCATCTTGGCTCACTGCAACCTCCACCTCCCAGGCTCAATTAATCCTCCCAACTCAGCCTCCCAAGTAGCTGGGACAACAGAAGTGCACCACCACACCTGGCTAAATTTTTGTATTTTTTGTAGAGCTAGGATTTTACCATGTTGCCCTGCCCACGCTAGCCTTGAACTCCTGAGCACAAGGGATCTGCCCGCTTTGGCCACCCTAAGTGCTGGGATTACAGGTGTGAGCCACCGCACCTGGCCTTTTATTTTGTTTACTTTTATTGTATGTTTTGAATAACCGTCTTTTATCAGATATGTCTTTTGCAAATATTTTCTTCCAGTCTGGGGCTTATTTTTCTCTTGACAGTGTCTTTCACAGAGTAGAAAATTTTAATTTTAATAAAGTTCAAACGATCATTTATTTCTCAATACTTTGAATATTCGATCTTTAGGAATCCTCTCTCAATATGAAAGTCCCCTAAGTTAGGATATAACCTTATTAGCAAACACACTAACCCCTATTTAAAACCACACCTTTTGACATATTAACAATAAGATAATTGATTTTAGTGAAGAACGTGATATAACCATATTTGTATGTTCTCTCAGTATTAAAAATAGTTAATTGAACAAGAAAAAGCACTACACCTTTGAATACCCTATGAACACCTTTCCCATGGATGTGTACACAGAGTGCCTATTTTTAGAATACTAAGAATGTATGCACATATGGCTTTGAATTAAGGAAACTAACACTATATAAGAAAAGACAAAGATTTGCAACATACTTTTCTGAAAATATGTGATTACCAAATTGTTTAGGGTAATTTAAATGCCTAAAATATGATTTACTTGTAAGTATAAGTGTATGGAAGTAATATAACCAGTGTTTTAGAATCATAGAGTGTAAATTCAAATTGTTCCACTGTGAATCCTAGCTCACCACTCAGATAATTCTTTGACTTACATCAAACAGTTTAAACTCTCTTAGGCTCATCTTTCGAAGTGTAAAATGTGAAGAAGAAGAATAGCCACATCATCGGGTGAGATGTGTGTAGAGTGCTTATAAAAATGCCTGCTCTAGGCCGG